TTCTGTAACAAGTACTCCGTACGGACGGATAATAAAAGAAATACTTCCTCTACATATAGTAGAGATAGGCAACAAAGTCAGACACATCTAAAATCCCGCGCGGTAAACAAACAGGATCAACGTGGATCAGGAGCAAGTTGTGCAACAACACAACGTTGATTATTTCCCCCAGTCTTGATGCTGAATGGATCCGACCTCCACCTATAGTTACAGTACTGTATATACCGTGTTGTGTACTGTACGTGGTCTTTGCTTGCCCTGCCTTTTCCCAGGTAAATTCAGGTCAGGACCGTCAGGTACTCTATGTTCTGTGTACATACTATACACACATGACCCGCCCTCCCTTTCTCTTTTCCTCGTGGACACTTGGCACATTACTGAAGTCTGAGCAAAATTTAAGTGGTAACTAACTTTGTTAGCTCCCAAAGTCATAGTTAAGCGTGATAATATCAAGTCAATGGCTTCTCGAAATTATGCCATCGGTCGCTTTCCCCATACATCCGCGACCCGATCGTCGATGATCGTCCAGGCCCTCCCCCGGGGCGTCATTTGCGTTCCGCCGTTCTCTTCCCCCTCTCCCTTCTTGCGTTGACTCGGAGGCCAATCGATGGGGCAATTATTGGCCCAGTGGCCACGACGCCGCCCACTTGTTACTTGCTCGGGGCTGGCGTCATGCAGCCTGGGAATAGTGTGACTCCGGTGATCGGTGATTGGGAGGTTTAGTCATGGTCATGGGTGTGACCCACCAAAATGCCCCCGGATCGAGTCTAGGGTGCCTGTCGTCGTCAAGTTGCCACCCAGAGCTCCGCCATCGGCCGAGGGAACTGGAACTTCTATCTAATTTTATTCATTCCCCCCCATCCATCTGAAAATGGAAAACATCGTCATCTTTCCAGTTCCATTCTGTCGGTCGCCGATTTGCCGGTCGGAAGCGGGAGCGGTGTTTGTGCCTTTATGATTATGACTGTAACAAATCCCAGGTGGATCGATCTAGATCGAATTGGTCTGTGAGACGTCTGAACTTGTCGAGATGAGGATATTCCAGAGAGTAGGTAAGTGGCTTGCTTGTTGCTTGTGGTCTGGTCTGGTCTGTTTTGTGACGAGATGCTTGATCTTCGAAATCACGGATGGCGTTACGCATTACCTGTCCGAAATATGGGGAAGGGAAGGGGAGAGGGGGGAAGGCAGGGGGAAGACCGACACTTCCCATCACCACCGACTGGTATGGCGCTGCCTGTCATCATCAATTATGTATGTGACAGAAGTGAATGGACTGACAGACACGGGAGGCATTCTACTGTGTAGGTCCCGTCATCCACCCTAGTTTCGTACATACTGACAGGGAAAGAGGGACGGTCTATCATACTCATCATCATTATCATCATCATCATGATTCTTCTTCTCCCGATAACGATGGGGCCCGCGACCGCGAGACCCTGCTTGGACCTGCAGGAACCTCACCTTAGTCATGGCGACGGTGCGGGCTTGGTGCCCATTCATTGAACTCTTATCTCGACATTTACTGTCTGTACTGTACTATGGAAGTTGACCGACTACAGTACAGTACTTTGTAGAATATCTTCAAAAGCTTGTCGCTAGGGTATCAATTGACTTTTGGCCTACTCAACTGACTCACTAGAGCTAGACTTCCCTCGAAGCAATGAGTTGTTGATCACGCCAGTTAAGTGGGTGAATCTTTACACTCTTGTCCGCCCACGGGCCATGACTCCAAAGGTTCCCTTGGGTTGAGGGAGGTCGGGCGGCGGCCGGTGGCCAACTTTCTGCTCCATCTCTATGATTGTCTTTGACTTTTCGGTCTGGATCGTGCTGCTGTCGCGGCAATCCCCGAACGGATTTACAGGGTCATACAGTAACTTACTGTAGCTAATTCCCCTACTTACTTAATTGTTTACTCCTCTCTTTGATACAGTATGTGTAACTCAATTGATCCCGCATCGCAGTTCCCCCATATTTTGGCGTAGTGTAGTTATTCAATGGGCGGCAGGAGGAGAACTTGACGGCCCGGCAACCTGGCAGGGGGGGGGGCGTGGGAAGTGGATTTTGTTTTGTGAGTGGATGGACTCAAAAAAAAGGAAAGAATGCGTGGTCAGTGCCTGGGTGATGATAGGCAGGTAGGCAGGGTCACGGACTGGAACGCTGCTGAAACCCCGTTACTCATACTCATATTCATACTTGTCCTCAATTCAAGGCTGCTTACCCATGACCGACCGTTTTCTGCCGAGTTTACTTGACGGGACTCGAAACGTACTGTCGGGTTTTGGTAAGATACACTTCAGTCACGCAACCGCTCATTCATGATTAGCTCATCCAGAGCCCATCCATTCTTTGGTCGGTCGGTTTGGGGTTACTGATAGGCCAGAGCTGTTGTTGTTGATGGTGGTGTTGTAATATGGATTGGAGTGGTTTGCGATACAGTAGTACTCCGACCAAGGGGGGCATCAACAATCCTAAGGGTCCCCAATTGATTATCCATACACACCAGGGGATGTAAGCATCGAAAAAGAACTGGAATCATGACGACGGCAATGGAGCTTGCTGATTCATCATTCAACTGTTGCCAGTCATAATCTTACTGAACGTACGGAGTGAGCCGGGCGGATGTTTTTGGTGACTGCCAGGGCCGGAGACATAGTCAAGAGTACGTACGTACGTAGATTAGAATGACGGATGAATCAGGGGGAAGTGGTGGAGGTGGAGCTTCCTCTGGCCGGAAACGGGCTTCAGTTTCTCGACCTGCATCCATCATCTGAGTCCCAAGTCGTGAGAGACAGAGGGAGAGACTGTTCTGTATGTACGTATGAACGGAGTACACAGTACTGTATGTATGTATGTATGTATGTATGTATGTATGTATGTAAGTATGCTGCTCATGTACGTACCAGTAAAGATGGTGGAGTGGAGACGGATGTTCAGGTGAGATTGGGTAGACTCGGCAGATGATTACCGGTTTTTACCACGAGGTACTACCTTGCCTTTGCCTAAACTTCAACAACTCGGGTTGCAGTGCTTTGTGCAGGCAGGCAGGCAGGCAGGCAGGCAGGCAGTCACGTATTGGTATGGTATGGAAAGTGCCCGTTATTGGCTGGCCGAGCCACCCATCGGTACTCCGTACTATGGTTGAGGTTCCATACCATACCCAAGGCACGACAACGACGTAGGAGGTTCTCGCTCGTTCGCCCAGTTTCCACTTTCCCTCTCCTCCCCTCATGCAGGCCACAGTTGAGACTTGGGGAGGCACAACTGGGTTCAACCTCCATTCATTATTATTATTATTGACTCTGGACTTTCGCCCCTCCTACTAATCCCCAACACGGTTTAGTGGTGTCCTGAAGTGCTATCATCTCATCCGCCCCCCCCCCCCCCCCCAATTAGTCGGGTTAGTCACTCATCTCTCAACTACTCGGGTCAATCAGTCATACCTCTCCCTCTCCGTACTTACTTACCTAGTCATCATCTCCCCCATCTGCATTCCAGTCTCATCTTCCTCTTCCTCATCCTATTCTACCTTCTACCTTCACCTTCTTCCTTCTTCCTTCCCCTCACCTTTCGCTACCTCCCTCTTCACTACGCTTCGCTTCGCTCCTCCTACCTTCGACCTCATCTACAACCTCATCCGACTACCTTCCTCACTCCTCAACTCCATTGCTCCTTCCTACCCGATTCTCCCTATCTACTACCGACTACCGACTACCGACTCCCAACTACTCGCCACCCCGTCCTCAACAACAACAAGCTACTGCCTCCCACTAGCTCTTCTTCCATCTGCTCCTCTTCGCTCATCATCGTTGCGACACGATACAGCGCTTTGACAAGTTCATCGTCTGATTAGACCAACGTTGTGATCTTCTCCACCACTGGTTTCGTCGCCAACAGCTTGATCGAACCTCTTTTCCTCGGCTGTCTCGTCTTTTGCCTGGCCTTCCCAACACCTACCCCCGTGACTCATCCTTGCTCCCAAGCCAACCACGTCGAGAGCTTCCTCGGACCCACGTTTCGTCTACCTTCCTGCAGACTGTCCTTTGAAGCCTTGCTACGTTTCGATTGCAGATAATACGTGTGAGGGTGTCGCTCCGCTCTGAGGTCAACACTGCTTTGTTGTCCATCCGTTCGCCGCGCAACCTTGGCCGGGTGCTGGTATTCGGTTCTTCAGCTCGCCCACTCACGGGACAGAAGACCTGACCTACCAGTTGTCCAAAGCCTCGGTCTCCCTATATAGTTTCCTCCTCAACCATCAGGACTATATAATCTATCGGTCATTCTATGACTCGGTAGTCTTCGACCGCTCCCTCTCCTTCGAGTCACGACCTTTTCTTCCCCGACCTTCAGCCTGGTGTTGGAAGGCCTTCCTTTGTTACGAGCCTTGTCTGTTTATACTCTTGGTGTTTACGATATCTACGCAGCGTTCTTCCTCGTCATTTCCTTGTTGACCAACCGTCCTACCGCTGGACATCGCCATTCACTTCAATCACATTCTTTCCTCGCAACATACTTATCTTCGCCTTTGGCCGTGGGCCCCTATTTGTGAAAACGATATACCGATGCACTCATAACAGTCTTTAACAAATCATTTCCTATCGTCGTTCGAAACCCCCCGGGTATCTCTGCATTGCGCCTTACGCCTACTCATTCTCACCACTTTTTTGTTCACTTTTGTCACCATATCCTCTTTTGACTTTCCGATATTTATACGATAAATTCTGAGCCGACAACTCATTTGTTCCTTTTGTCGTTTCGTTCTTCTCCGCTTCCTTCCCCCTTCCGACTCTTCTCTTTTGGATCTGGGTGGCCAAGATCTACTTGGAAACTTGAGCTGGCATAGTCTTTGAACTTCATTGTTAGCCACATCGTTCGAGTTCAATCCTAACTCGAGCCTTGCCAACCGACCACTCGAACAGTCTGATTAACTGAGCCTGTTCCTATATTCTACCTCGACGACCATCTCTGGGAGAACATCGTCCTGTTAGAATATACACATAACAATGGAGTGCCTCAAGAACAATTTTGTTGAAGGCCAGCTGTTGGACGGACGGTTCCGCACCGTCGCCCCCTTGAACCATGGATCTTTTGGCATGGTCTTCCTGGCAAAGGACTTGAAGACTGGTCAGGATGTTGCCATCAAGTGCATGACGAAGTCCTCCTCGGGTGACCCGTTGAACCCCTCCCCATATGATGCCCGCGCCGAGGAGCTGGAATGCCACAGACGTCTCAGGTTTCATCCCAACATCGTCAATCTCATTCATTCCTTCGAGACGGATGCCCACATGTATCTCGTTTTGGAGTATTGCTCGAATGGTGACCTGTACGAAGCAATCCGGCTCAACCGTGGTCCTTTGGAAACCGAACACGTGCGCGACTTCATGTTGCAACTTGTGAGCGCGGTTGAGTTTATGCACGCGAACGGCTTGTATCACCGTGACATCAAGCCTGAGAACATCTTCTTGATGCAGGATGGTTCCATGAAGCTCGGTGACTTCGGTTTGGCGACTCGGGAGGCTTGGTCCCACGAGGCCTGCGTTGGCAGTGATCGATACATGGCTCCCGAGCAGTACGATCCCTCCACCGTCGGCTATTCCCCCGCCAAAGCCGACATCTGGGCGATTGGAATCTGTCTGCTCAATGTTCTCTTCGCACGGAATCCCTTCGCCACGCCGACGGAATCCGACATCCTCTACGCAGACTACGTTCGGGACCGCCAATCGTTGTTCGACATCTTCCCCAACATGTCTCAGGATACCTTCGAAATCCTGAGGACTGCCCTTGCCATTGACCCCACGAAGCGTTCCCTTTCTGGCATTCGCGAAGCTATCTTGCGTGCTGTCACGTTCACCACAGATGATGACGCGCTGGACGAGTTCTGCACGGACGACCGCGAGGTGGTTGCCGCCAGTGCCAACCGGGAGCCGCTTCGGACCCCTTCCATCCAGAGCCCTCACATCAACCAGGGCGACTCTTTCCCTTGGGCCAAAGCTCTCCAAGCCAGCCCTCCCCAGACCTTCCGCCAACTCTCCGCCATTCCCGACAACGAGAGCTACACCGAAGACCTTTTCCCTCCCTCGGAAATCGCTGGCACTTCGTGGTTCTCTGTCCACCAGGGGACCCCATCCATGGCTTCCGTTCTGGAGTCCGCTATGGGCGAATCTTTCCGGTCTCCTCCGTTCCGCAAGAACGAGGTTCGATTCCCACCTCCCTCCGATCCCGTTCCTATCACCGGCTCTTTGCCAAGCAATGCTACCAAGCCCCTGCCTTCTCTTTCCATGGTCTTTGGCAAGAAGAAGGAGGAGCAGATCTCCAAGAGCTGGAGCGATCTTTGGGATGAGGAGGAGGAATCTGAAGCCGAGGACTTGGCTTACCAGCAGCGCCGCGAGCAGAACTCACGCAGCTGGAGTCATGAAAGCAGCACGCCTGAGCTTCGTGGCTCCCTCACCGGCCTGCACGAAGTCGTTAGCAATTCCCTACTCAACGTCCGCGCCCAACAGATGGAGACTCCTCACGAAGACTCCGAGAAGTTTGTTTCCAAGTCGTGGGATCCGAGGGCGGGAATCACTGCTATCAAAACCCCACCTCAGTCCCCCGACAGCTCCCCGCAGAAGTCAAGCGTCGACAAATGGTCGGCCCTTGGTGATCGTCGGAGGAACTTCAAGTCCCCGGAAACCTCTTCCGGAAAGAAGTTTTCAAGCAATATGAGTTGGAGGAAGGATTGGGGCTTAGGGTCCTCTGGCTTTGACTATGGTTCATGGGCCAAGAAAGAGACGTTCTCTCCTCCGGATCGGGAGCGGCGGCGTCGTCCCTTCCAGGAGAAGGGGCGGCGTCGCGACGCCTGGGAGTCTCCCAAAGCCGCCCATACCAAGGCCGCGAACCACTACGATGGCAGCGTCGACGAAGATCTCGATCTTGTCGGCGGCTGGCACGACCTTCATCTGTAAGGAGCTTAGCCCCACCTCTGGTGCCGGCATCCGACGTTCCTCTCCATTCTACTGTACCGTCCAATGTCGCTGAGAAGAGCAACACAATAATAAATAAACATTTCAACCAATACTCCGACTCGTTTTCCGCTTTCGTCCTTTCCACTCTTACTCCGCTGCATTTCTCCATGCGGTCGCCAAGGCCAGCATCTGGCGCCCGGCGACCTTATATTCATATTCAAAACTTATATTCTCTTCACTCTTCTTACTCCATAGAATGTATGTGGCCTCCGTGCCCATCTATCTGTCAGTGTTTTCTGTTTCCTATTCTGTATAATATGACGCTATTCGACGGAGTCAGCAGTGGCGGTGACAAGCAGGTCAAAAGTGACTCATCAACTGATAACTGGAGGGATTGTCCTCTTACTGGAGTGTTTGAGTTGTTTTTATTCACTCTTCTTTCCTCCCCCTTGCGCAAAATTCTATGTTTCTTTTTCCTTTCTTCAAAAAAAAAAAACAAAAGGTCCAATGCTTGGGGGTTCGTTGGACGACGACGCAGGACGACGATGGCGTGCAGCAGGCCGTGGCGCTATTCCCTTCACTCGATTCTTACACATGAAAAAAGCAATGAACAAGACGAACGGTCGTTCTTTCATCCATACACTCTTTGGTCGGCTCTATCTTCCTGGAACAGGCTGTTGGACTGGACCGGGACATCTGTGCACTACATGTAATTAGCCGGAACAGTTGAGTAGGTAGTGGTGATGAGGCGGATTTGACACGCAACAAGGAGACAGGAATCAAAAGTGATTCTAGTATTCTTTGACATTCTCCCTCTCAACGTAGTGTAGATAAACGATTGTAAAATTAGAGATATCGAAGTGACCCACAGCTACGGATAGGGCGCTGGCAGATCATGCAGAGCGTGACTCGATTTCCTGTTCTGTGAAGGGACTTTTCTTGTCTAGTCGGGGAGCATAATTCACTACTCTCCGTAGTTCTAATGTTTACTACTGTATGCATCATGGATGCATGGATCCATGTTCAGGGACAGGGACCAGGACACGGCGGGGTGGCCACTCCCGAGCTCCCTGAAGTAGCAGGCGGTGGGCAAAGCGGAGAAGATCAAAACAGGTGGGCGATGACGATCGAATCATTGTCTACGAGTCAGTCTAGGCCAGTCTGGCCTTCAAGATTAATCTTCTTCTTCTTCTTCTGCTCTGCTCCTCCAGTGACTGAGTGGACTGACGGTGAGCCCTGTTGAGCAGTCGGTCCCGATCGTCGTCTCCACTACGGAGTCCCTCCCCTCTTTCACTTGTTGTGACAACTTGACTTCCTCCTGGCAGAACGTGCCATTTGCCGGAGTGTTTCTCAGACAGGACACGGAGAGCGAGAGACAAGAGGCTGGGGAAAGTCAACAAAGGGTGCTTGTTGTATCCTTGCATTTCCTTTCCTTCGCCCAACCCAGAGAGACTCTTGAACGGACTCCGTACACTGAATCACAGACAAACGTGACCTCCTTCGTCGGACTCCACAGACAATGCGCGCGCGTGTGTGGCGGTCAATCCATTTTTCTTCTAGTTGAGTTGCGGAGAGACACTAAGCTACTACGATTAACAACTCCGCACAATCGCCCTTCCCGGCGCTGCGAGATAAAAAAAAAATAAAAACCTCAAATCAAGACACCCGTCCCCATTTGCAACCCCTTGGGCGTTAGGGAAACTTGCCCCCCCAAAAATGGCCGGGTGGACGGCAACACAATGGATTCCCTGGATGACTCTAATCTCAACCTGGATTGACGGGGTCGCCGCGAATCAATCTCCATCGATCTGCCCCACGCCCGATACCCTGAAACTCGGCGCCCAGCTGATCCAGTGGCCTGTTTGTATTGAGACACGATGGGGACTTCAGCGCCCCGAGGCCGATGCAGCCGCTTATATTCTGTCCCAGACGCCCTCGGTGGCAGCAGAAGCCGCATCGGTGACCGTGTCAGCGTCTGCTTCGAGCCATGAGGCGGTGACGAGTCCCACCTCGGTGGACGAGCAACAGCAGCAGCAGCAGCAGCAGCAGCAGCAGCACCGGTCCGACCAGGAGCTCGACACGGATTCTCCGCTCGACAATGCGAAGTTCCTGTCCTTCGAAGACTGGAAGAAGCAGAATCTGGCCAAGGTTGGACAGTCTGCGGAGAATGTGGGGGGGAGTCGCCGTGGTGGTGGCGTGGCTCAGGGCAAGGAGGACCGGCGACGGCCCACGGGGATCAACAATGCGCTGGACTCGCTAGGCGACGATGCAGAGATCGAGCTGGATTTTGGGGGCTTCGGCGCAGATACTACGCCTGAGGCGACGCGGCCTGCGGCGTGGACCGCGATGGTCTCCTCCTCCACTGAGCCGCGAGGCGAGCGGATACCGGGGGCCGGACACGAGGCCGGCGCCGATGGGCCGGCTCAGGGCATGCCTCAGGCGGGGGTGTCTCGATCGAAGGACGCGGGCACGACCTGCAAAGAACGGTTCAACTATGCGTCCTTTGACTGCGCGGCGACGGTGCTCAAGACGAACCCGGAGTGCAGCGGGTCGTCGTCGGTGCTCATCGAGAACAAGGACAGCTACATGCTGAATGAGTGCCGGGCGAAGAACAAATTCCTGATCCTGGAACTGTGCGACGACATCCTGGTGGATACCGTCGTGCTCGCCAACTACGAGTTCTTCAGCTCCATCTTCCACACTTTCCGAGTCAGCGTCTCGGATCGGTATCCCGCCAAGTTGGACCAGTGGCGGGAGCTTGGGGTCTACGAGGCCCGGAATACGCGGGAGGTGCAGGCCTTCGCGGTCGAGAATCCGCTCATCTGGGCGCGGTATGTGAAGATTGAGTTCCTTACGCACTACGGGAACGAGTTCTTCTGCCCGTTGAGCTTGATTCGGATTCATGGAACAACGATGCTGGAGGAATATAAGCATGATGGGGAGGCTGGTCCCGCAGATGATGATGAGGAGGAGATATCTGAAGAATCAACGGTGCCGGCTCCTATGGCCCCGGACTCTGAGACTACGGCTACGGCCGAGGAAGCGCCTCATCCGGCGGCTGCTGAGCCGGTCGACTCGGTGCCGACCAGCGACCCAGAGGAAGAGGCTTGCCGCCAGTCCGGGTCGGACATGGATGTGCCGGAGCTGCGCGAGCTTCTGGGGCTTCTCGATACCTGTGACGACCAGGAGGCACCGGCTCCTGGTGCTGGACCTGAAGTGGCAGCCCAGCCCCAGCCCAATCGACCTGTTTCGAACGAAGCGTCCCCATCCCAGGCGCAAGATACCGTGGCTTCGGGAAAAGGCAAGGAGGCTTTGTCCGGAGAATCAGGAGAACAGAAGGTGACAAGCGCAGTGGGATCAACTGCAACGGACTTATCGTCGGCCTCAATAACTGCTGTGAACTCCGAGACTGCATCCGCCAGCGCTGTAACGGAAGCGGACAACAAGTCTACTGTGCTGCCAAAGGATGAACCCAGCAGCATAGCGGAACCGACCAGGTCGAGTATGACCCAGCCACCGTCGGCAAACCCAACTACGCAAGAGTCCTTTTTCAAGTCAGTGCACAAACGACTCCAGATGCTGGAGTCGAACTCCAGTCTCTCGCTTCAGTACATCGAAGAACAATCGCGCATCCTGCGCGACGCCTTCGATAAAGTCGAGAAGCGGCAGCTGACGAAGACGTCGACATTCCTGGAGGGCTTGAATGTGACAGTGTTAAATGAGCTGAAACAGGTTCGGGAGCAATACGATCAGGTGTGGAAGAGCGTGGCGTTGGAGTTTGAGCATCAGCGCATCCAGTATCACCAAGAAATCCATTCGCTCAGTTCGCAGCTGGGCGTGCTGGCGGACGAGCTGGTCTTCCAGAAACGCGTGGCGGTCATCCAGAGCATGATGATCCTCTTCTGCTTTGGGCTGGTACTCTTTGCGCGGGGCACGGCGAGTGGGTACATTGAGATTCCTCGAGTGCAGAACATGGTCACGCGGTCGTACAGCCTGCGCTCGTCCTCGTCGCCGTCCCCTCCGTACGGCTCTCCGCTGGTGAGCCCGACGTCAACGCGTGCGACGTCTTCCTGCCGACGCACCGGCGGCCATCGACGCAATCTGTCCGAAGACTCGCAGGACGAGCTTCTCAGCCCAACGCTGGCGTACTCGCCGCCGACGCCCGTTTCTGATGCACTGAGTTCGGCCGAAGATGAGGATCCGGAGCAGCAAAGAGGGAGTACCCTGGAATTGCCGGAGGTGGTCCCACCGGCGCAGCGATCGCGTAGCAGCCCACCTGATCTCCCGCGTGAGGGGAGCACCACCCCTGGATCCGAAGCGTCTCCCGTGGAAATCGTCGATGACTCGCCCGGGCGATAAATGTTTGGCCTGGGTGGGACAGTACAGTGGCAGGCAAACAGAAGTGCAGGGATATGATAGGTGGCTGCGGAAGCTTATCGGCATTTCTGATTGTCTGTCCCTGCGTGTTTCCAGGTCAACTCCCTCCTTGGTCGGTCTCTTTGTGTGTCTGGATCCGTGGGTTAATTGGGCCGGGCGTGGATTTGGGTTATTTGTCTATTTGTATATGTATATCAGGACACGACACGATGATGACTAGACCACGTATAGAACCGTGGATTTAATTCTAATTTGCTTAGAGGGGATGCGGATCAAGGATGACCTGAATGTTGAATGAAGTAATGCTGGAGCATGATCTCATTGTGGTGGTTGCCATGCCAACAATCGACACGGTTTTTTTTCCCGCTGGCCGGCCGCTGCTTATCCTTTTGAGCCTCGCTCGCTCTGCCTTCTCTGCCTTTCTCTGCCTCCACTCCACCACCACCACCATCATCTGAAGAACCTCCTCTACAACGCGTTGAGAAGACCAACAAGATCTCTCCCAACTCACTTCCTCAATACTACACATTCACCATCAACCACCACCACCACCACCACCATCACCATGGACGCTCAACCCTTGACCGACCGCTCCACCAACACGCACCTGGGCACTGCCGAGGAGACCGGCAAGCCGATGAACTCGATGGACTACCACCGCCAGAAGCTGCAGGGCAAGCTGGCCAGCGGAGAAAGGTATGGACAGTACAGTGGCTCCCACGGGCTGATTCTCTGTGTGAATGGACATGTTACTGACGAGGGAACGCGTCCAGTAACCAAGCCAGCTACGTGTCGCCCTCGGACGAACTCATGAGCCCTTGCTCGAAGAAGCTGAGCGACCTGAAGGGCAAGCGCTTCAAGAAGTATGTTTTTCTCATCTACATTCTTCCTGCCAAGCCCATCAGCTCTTCTGGGAGGATGAACTTAAGACTAACAGTGAATATCCGTCCATCCAGTGCCGGCAAGCCCCAATCCCTGTTCGCCAAACTGGGCAAGAAGAACTTCGAACAGTCTGCGGCGGCCGAAGCCCAGCGTGAGAAGGAGAACACCGAGAGCGCGGTCTAAGACCACCACCCTAAGGAGATGAGGACGTTCCATATATTTTTTTATTTGCTGGATGGGGTTAGACGACATCTCCGTGTTTCTTTTTTTGTCATTCTCTCGCGCGGGTCGCCGGAGAAAGAGATTTTCCTTCCTTTTATCCTTGTTATCGTGTAGCTAGACCCGTTGCTGGATGGCTGCGCGACACTTGGTTTTTCACGTTCGGGATTGTTTTTTGTTATGCTTGGGATGAAACTGTTTTTATTTGTGTTGATGAAACTTCGTTATGGAGGGTTCAACTGGGAGAAAAAAAATCAACCGAGGTTGGATTTTGGGAGATTACTGGCTGGGACACTCTGGGTTGGTTGGACTTTGGAGCTGAGGGGATTCTTTATTATCATGATGACTTTTCCCCCCCTTATTAATGGTTTTACTGAGATGCTACACATACTTTCCGATGGGTTTATATGATAGAATCCATCCACGAGTGGGATGTATACCGTATACACGGTGTATAGTAGGAAGTGTATGTAGGGTATATACACAGGGACTGCCACCACCACCCAAATCAGCCGAGGTCCCGATCGGCATCTTCTCCGCTTTCTGTCGCTCTCCGCATTTCCAACCTTGAGTTCGTTCTTACTTCACTCACGCCATCGTCTGATCCAGACGCTTCCTCTCTTTTAATTAAATCACCAGTCCATTCCTCTTTTTCTCTTTTTTCTCGTTCCTTACTCTTTCACACCAAATAACCCACTCAACCAAGACCTGATCGAAAACATGCCCGCCTCCGCCCGCATCCCCCCCATCGCCCTCCCCTTCGTCAGCGACCGCGCCAAGAAGACCCTGGACCTGGTATATCTATCCCCTTTGAGTCTAACTCCAACTTCCCCCCCCCCAGCTCAAATCATGCTAAGCGATGAACACAGGTCGAAGAATTCGTCGAGAAGGACTGCATCCCCGCCGAGGCCGTCTTCCAGGCCCAACTGGGCCAGGGCGAGCAGCGATGGACCACCCACCCGGCCGTCATGGAGACGCTGAAGGCGCGCGCCCGGCAGCTCGGCCTGTGGAACATGTTCCTGCCCAAGAACCACTTCGCGCAGGGCGCCGGCTTCTCGAATCTGGAGTATGGGCTCATGGCCGAGTATTTGGGGAAGAGTTTGATTGCGTCGGAGGTGCGTCCCTTCTTTTTCTTTTGGGGCAGGGGGGGTGGTTTCGTGTGGAGATTGGGTTGGGATGATGGACAGAGACTCTGTTTCTGTTTTCATTAAGAGTTGGAGAGGGCAGTTTCGTGATGTATGGCTGATAAGCTAACCAACCACACTAAACCCCTAGGCCACGAACAATGCCGCCCCGGACACGGGCAACATGGAGGTCCTGGCCAAGTACGGCAACGAGGCGCAGAAGCAGCAGTGGTTGACGCCGCTGCTGGAGGGCCGGATCCGGTCGGCGTTCCTGATGACCGAGCCGGAGGTGGCGTCGAGCGATGCCACGAATATCCAGTTGAATATCCGGCGGGAGGGGGATGAGTATGTCTTGAATGGATCGGTACGTTGTCCCCCCTTTTTTTCCCCAAAGAACAGCAGCTGACGGTACCACTCGCTCAAGAAATGGTGGTCCTCCGGCGCCGGCGACCCGCGCTGCGCCATCTACCTGGTGATGGGCAAATCGGCGCCCGACCACCGGGACCCGTACCAGCAGCAGTCGGTGATCCTGGTGCCGGCCGACACGCCGGGGATCACGGTGCACCGGATGCTGACGGTGTACGGGTACGACGACGCGCCGCACGGGCACGGGCACATCAGCTTCGCGGACGTGCGGGTGCCCGCCGCGAACCTGGTGCTGGGCGAGGGCCGCGGGTTCGAGATCATCCAAGGCCGGCTGGGGCCGGGCCGCATCCACCACGCGATGCGCACGATCGGCGCCGCCGAGAAGGCGCTGGAGTGGCTGATCGCGCGCATCAACGACGACCGCAAGCAGACCTTCGGGCAGCCCCTGGCCAGCCACGGCGTCATCCTCGAGTGGGTCGCCCGCTCGCGCGTCGAGATCGACGCCGCCCGCCTCGTCGTCCTCAACGCCGCCGTCAAGATCGACCAGGGCGACGCCAAGTCCGCCCTCCGCGAGATCGCCCAGGCCAAGGTCCTCGTCCCCCAGACCGCCCTCACCGTCATTGACCGCGCCGTCCAGGCCTACGGCGCCGCCGGCGTCTGCCAGGATACCCCGCTGGCGTACATGTGGGCGCTGATCCGCACGCTGCGCATCGCCGACGGGCCCGACGAGGTGCATCTGCAGCAGCTCGGGAAGCGGGAGAATCGGGACCGCAGGGCGGAAATCCGCCAGAAGTTGGAGTGGCAGCGGGGCGAGGGCGAGCGGTTGTTGAGCCAGACGGGGTTGAAGATCAAGGGCCGGTTGTAATCAGGGGTTGCATGCGGGGTTTCTCTCTACTCAGTAGATCCTGGAGCCGAATGAAGTAGGTTAATACATTTGGCAGTGAAACTAGTGTGGAGCCCAACGGGCGTGAGCTATATCGGAAATGTATGTAATCTTTCATAGCCCCATTTCCCATGCACGACGTAAAAACGAAAACCCATATACCAGGATAACATATGACCACAATGAAAGACCCCAAAAAAAAGCCGATGTAGTTTATACCGGGATACAAGAAATTAAGAAAAGAACCCAAAAGTAGAAAAGGAAAAAACAGCTTTTGTGTTCATTTCATGATTCATCCAATCCAATACCAACCTCACACAAAATCATCAATCAACGTACGCACTCGCCTGCGAGTCCAACCCGAAAACAAAACAAGAAGAGAAAAGCCAAGGGACGGAAGGGCACCACTAATACTCATCTTCGGTGGAGCCGTTCTTGCGCACCTTCTTGGCCCGCTTCTTGTTGGCCTTGAAGTGTTTCTTCGAGTTGCCGCTGCGGACCTCGGAGACGTCCATGCCGCGCTCCAGGGCGACCATCATGCGCTCCTTGCGGCCGGTCAGCTGCTTGCGCATCTGCTGGCCCTGCTCGGTGTACTGCGAGTTGAAGGGGAGCATCATCTGGCCGCGCGAGGAGGCGGCGCCGGGGCCGAAGAAGCCGCTGTCCAGGTTGCGGGCGAGGGAGCCCTGGACGGGCTGCTGCTTGGTGGCGCCGGTCACGCCGAGGAGGGAGAGGGTCTCCGGGTCGACGTGGGCGCCCAGGGGGTCGGCGGCCATCATCTTGGCGAGCTGGGCCTGCCGGCGCTCGGGGAGGTGGGCCAGGTCGTAGAGCTCCTGGTTGAACTCGGCGGGGTCGATGGGGCTGCCGCCGTCGTCGACCGGGGGCGGGTGGCAGAAGAGCAGCTTGCCGTTGACGTAGTCCTTCAGCACGTAGCGGGCGGCGCGCGACTCGTCGGGCTGGCCCAGCCCCTGCGTGGAGAAGCCGCGGGCGCGGGCGTAGGCGCGCAGCACCTCGCTGCCGGTCGGGGTGCCCGTGCCGCCTTCCTCGACGGAGCGCATGAGGATCTTGACGCCGTAGACGTTCTCGAGGAAGTGCTTGGGGATGCGCTGGGCGACGAGCGAGGCCGGCCCCGTGAACTCGCGCTGCTGGTCGATCGGGAGCACGCCGTTGACCACGAGGTCGGCCTTGGTCGTCGCGAAGTTGGGGAACACCAGACCGGGACAATCGCAGAGCATGATCTCCGGCGACAGGTACAGCGTCTGGAAGTGCTTGGTCTTACCGGGGGTGGCCGACACGGACACCTTCTTGGCGCCCAGGAGCGCGTTGATCGTGCTGGACTTACCCACGTTGGGGTATCCGACCAGACCGATGGTCGTCTTGCGCTTGATGGGCTCGCCGTCCGCCGTGTTGTTGTCGGGGAGGGTGTCGGGGGTGTTGGACAGGAAGAGCTCCTCCAGCTCGTCCACGTTGAGGATCTCCGTTCGCTTGCTGGTGGCAGAAGGCAGCTCCGATCCGCCGTCGTGTTCATCCCGCTGCGCTTCGCCGTCCTGAATGTTCATGGCCTGGGTGTTCTTCGCCAAGTCCTGCTCCTGCTGCTGCTGCTGCTCCTCCTCATCAGATTCGCTGTCGCTCTCCGACCCGGACCCTTCCGCGAGGAGCCGGGCCTCGTTCTGCTCCTTGGCCAAGTGCGCCGAGAAGAAGCGGAAGCTGATATTATGGCGATCGAAGTAGTCCGCCCACATGACCCGCTGCTTCTCCGTCAACATATCGGCCTTGTTCACCAACAACAGATTCTGCTTGCGGGGGTCGAGCTCCTTGACGTAGGCCTCGAGGTCCTCGGAGCGGAAGGCCAGGGGGTTGCGGGCGTCGACAATCTGCACGACGAGGTCGGAGCGCTCGATGACGCGCCACAGCTGGCGCCAGACCTCCAGGTTGCGCTCGAAGGGGGTCATCAGCAGGTCCTGGTTCTCCTGCAGCTCGGCCAGGCCGCGGCGCCAGGACAGGAAGCTCTCCTTCTCCAGCTGCTCCAGCTGCTGGCGGGTGGTGGAGGCGTCCCACTGGGGGCGGCGCGGCACGGTCAGCCGGCCGCGGTTCTGGCGGTGCTTGGTGATGGCGGACTTCTCCTCGGAGGCGGACAGCAGGTAGGGGTTCTTCTGGTCGGCGTGGATGATCTTGACGTTGTTCATCTTCTCGGCGGTGAAGTCGGTGCCCGCCAGCTCGGCGGTGCTCAGGAACTCGTCCAGCGCCGCCTGCTCGGTGATACTGCGCATCTTGACCCACGAGGCGTCCTGCTGCGCGTTCGTGACGTACGTGTCGCCGTTCATGTCCTTGCGCACGATGCCGGCGTTGTGCGAGGCCTTCTTCTGGTTCGAGGCCTTGCCTTTGCCGAACCGGTCCTTCATGAGGCTGTTGCCCAGCCCCACGGCGTTCTTGGATTTGGCCAACACCATGGTGGCGATGAGTGACTGCGGAGCAGTTCAGAGGAGATAGGGGGGGGGGGGGGGGAAGGAGGAGGGTAGAGAGATAAGTGGGAAAGAATGAGAGATCGGGGAAGGAGAGAGAATAAGAGTCGTTGTAGTTGAGGAGGGACTGGTTGATTGATTTGTAAAGACGAAGAGAAAAGAAGAACTGAAGAAGAATTAATCCCACTGGCGGGTTTTGGCCCAATCAGAGTTGCCCCGCGCGGATAAGATAAGGCTGACTCAGCAGCTGTTTTTCCCCTCCTTTTTTTTTTTTTTTTGTGTGTGTGTGTCTCTGCAGCATCGGTAGCAAGAGTGAAATGTGAAATTCTGATGCTGGAGAGTGCAATCGGAAGATCGAATCTACATGAACTCCTCAGGACACGACACCTCCTTTGGGATCTAACGATCGGAGTGTTTGTATCACAACCCACCGGGTCCTCGATAAGCAGCCCCACGTGACTTTATCTCCCCCACGAATTTCGAGAATTTTCGCCCAAACGCCCAAAGACCCAAAGACTCAAGGACCCAAAGCTGCATCTCTCGATTTCTCTCCAATCATCCCAATCCCCCCAACGCCTGTCCTCGGACGACCTACCGCCCAAAATGCCTCCTCGGAAGCAGTGGATGTAAGTCTTCCACACTTTTCCGGAGTCTCGTCAATTCAAGCACTAACCCAGCAATCCTCCCAGCGACAAGAAAAACGCAACCACCTACCAACTCTTCCACCGCTCCCAACATGACCCTCTCATCCACGACCCCAGCGCCGACGACCGCGTGCTCGCGCCGGTGTCCGGCCCGGCCCCTACCACTACCAGCAGCAGTAGCAGCACGGCCGACGCCCACCGGGGCCAGAACCTGGCCACGCTGACCCAGCAATTCGGCAGCGGCGCCGTGCGCAAGAACGAAGGCGAGGCGGCCAACTACGGCATCTTCTACGACGACACCAAATATGACTACATGCAGCACCTGCGGGAGTTGGGGACGGGCGCCGGGGACGCGCACTTCGTCGAGGCCAAGAACCAAGCCCCGGCGGGCAAGGGCAAGATGAAGCTGGAGGATGCGCTGCGGCAGGTGTCGCTGGACGAGGATGGGCAGGGCAGCGAGTTCGGGGGCAGCTACCGCTACGCCCCCAGCGAGATGCGGTCGACCGCGACGGCCTACTCGCGGAAGCCCACCTACCAGGACCAGCAGAACGTGCCGGACGCGATCGCGGGCTTCCAGCCGAACATGGACCCGCGGCTGCGCGAGGTCCTGGAGGCGCTGGAGGACGAGGAGTACGTCGACGAGGCGGACGATGACAACCTGTTCGGCCAGCTGACCACGCGTGCGGAGGAGATGGACCAGGGCGACTGGGAGGATACCCTGTACGATGACTTCGACGAGGAGGACGACGAGGGGTGGGAGTCGGACGCGACGGAGAAGGCGCCCGTGCAGACGCATACGACGGCCGCCAAGGCGCAGTACGAAAAAAGGGTTGCGGCTGGGGGTGACGATGCGGAGGAGATGATGCCAGAGCATGACGCCCCGGCGCCGGACATGCATCCCGAGGATCAGGGCTGGATGCGCGAGTTCGCCAAGTTCAAGAAGGACGTCAAGGCCGGCGTCGCCAAGCCCGCCGTGCCCGCCGCCGCCCCCAGTGTCGGGCCCTCCGAGCAGCAGAGTACGCTAGCGTCGACGGTGTTCACGGTCGGCGGGACGCCGATCCGGCGCAAGAAGCGCAAGGGTGCCCTGACGAACCCCTCGGCGTACTCGATGACTTCGTCGGCCCTGGCGCGGACCGAGGGCCATCGGCTACTGGACGATCGGTTCGATCGCGTGGAGCAGCTGTACGCGCTGGACGAGGAGGATGAGTTCGACGACAGCATGTCCATGGTCAGTGGCATGACGGGCATGACCGCCATGACGGGCATGTCGGCGATCTCCGAGGCCCCTAGTCTGATCGATGCCAACGGGCAGACGGTCAACCCCCGCCACAACTTCACCTCGGTGATGGATGACTTCCTCGCGGGCTGGGACGACAACACCGGGTCCCAGGCCAAGCGCAAGGGTGTCAAGTACAAGCGCGGCAAGCACGGCAACGAGGCGATCGGCATCCGCATGCTGGACGAGGTGCGCCAGGGCTTGGGTCCGGCGCGTGTGGGTTCTTCCGGACGGGTCCCCGGACGGGCGTAAGTACGGTGTGGATTTCAGGGGGTGACCCTTTTCTCTCATTGCTGCTACGGCGTGTGTGCACATGCTTTCAACGATTGCGACGATACCTCTTACCCATGGCATGTTCTGGCTGGAAAAATAAAAGATTGCGGGCTTTCTCACATAACATAGGCGTCTCGGTTGCGGTTTTGTTCACTTTTCCCACCTTGCATGGTAGATAGACGTCAACACAAAAAGTCTTTTCATCGGTTGCTTTTCACACAGATTCTAAAAAAATGGCCGGATGCATACTTAGGCCAACACATCCACATAGGAATTCATGTAATCATTGTACAAGACATCATTTATCCATATCCATATACATACAGGCATCAATTGCCGAAAAAGGGGGTATACAAAAAGTTTCTATCATCTCTAAAAAGCCCCTCCCACCTTCTCAGTGATCCACATCGCCAGGCGAACCTTCCAGCTCACCCGCCGTTCCGTGCGCCGCAGATCCTCGCGAGAGATGGCCTTGGAATCCTTTTGCAGCCAGTCCGTCTCGGCGCCGAGCCTGCGTTTCAGCGTCTGGTTTCCCGTGACGACCACGGCGCCGACTTCCAGATCCAAACTGTAGCTGCGCTTGGTGTAGTTGCTGCTGCCGACAAAAGTCAAGCTGGGGAATTCCTCCCGGGGCAGGGTAATCCACAGGCCCTTGGCGTGGTAGGTCCAGCCACCCGGCTCGCCCACGGTGCCCCGGCGCCATTCCTTGAGCTGCACGGAATCCGTGCGCTTGGCCAGGGCCACCTGGTCGAGGAATTTCGCGGAGAGATGCGTGTATGCCGCGGGAAGCATGCCCGAAATGCCCGAGGACCCATAGAAGCCGTTGGCCCACGGGGAGGCTGTGAGCACGGTCCCACGGGTGCTGATGGCGGTGTGTGACGGCGAGGTGCTGGCAATCAGGAGGGAGGAGAGGACGGGGTGGATGTTGAAGTACCCCGCTGTGAACAGCCAGCGGGCACCGGAGAAGGCGGACGAGGTCGAGAGGAGACGGAGGATGGAAGTGACAGCCGGGTATTCCGTCGAGGTGTCCGGGTTTAGCAAGGAGGTGAACTGGGCCACCGGGTAGACGTAGGCATGGGTGGACGTCTTGGGCTCGAGTGCTTTCTTGGTGTCGATGTTGGGCTGGAAGAAGGGTTGTAGGAATTCCGAGGAATACGCGATGAACTTCTGCGGGTCGTCCAGAGGGCAGGGGGCACCATTGGCCTTCGGCCAGTCCAAGAGGTAACCGGCGGCATTATGCGGATCCGGGAGCACTTGAAAGCTGAGACTGCAGACTGCGTGGTGGATGCTGGCGTAGTAGTCAGCGAGCTCTTTCGAGCTGAAGACGTGGTATCGATCCAGGCGGTTCGTGAAGTAGTCGTTCGACAGGTTTGCGCTACGCTTGCAATCAGTGACTGGACCTGTGCGTCAGGAACACATGGAGCATGCATACCCTGAGAGGATAATCTCATCGTCGAAGCCATACAGCTTCATGTGCTGCAGACCCCATCCCTCGTTGATCCGGCGAGGAATCCATTTCTTCTTAAGACCCGTCAAGTTGGGAGTATGAAACATTCGAATTTCGACACGTTCGGATCCATGGTTTGTAACCAGCGAAGCGAGGAGCGATGCGCATGAGGGGTCCGGCGACTCGCGAGTTCCTCGAAGGCAGTCTGTGAGAATGGAGACCTTGAGGTCGGGGTTGTCCCGGAGCGCTTGGTCCAGAGTTGCGATCAACTCATGCTCAGTCTTGCCGATGTACAGGGTCGAGAGGTAGATGCGTCGTTTTGCGTTGCGGATTTTGCTCTATATGGACGAGAATGTCTTGATCTTAGTCCCTCCACGCTCTTCTGGCGCATCCAATCCTGACTTGACTCAATTGTCCAATCATACCTTGAGGGTGTCGTAGAAACTGGCAGGAGAGTCCAAGATTTGAATCCTCTCGGCATTAATCTCGAAGCAAGGTGAGATCCGATCCAGCTCGGTAGTAATACTGCCCAACGGCGAAGCGGCCGAGGGCACAGTCGAATGGGCGCTGGCATGAGAGGAATGGGCCGAGAATCTGCGCTCACAAAGAAGATTCCTCCGCGCAGCGGGTCGGCGCACCGCACACCGCAGGGCATTGCCCCCAATCCGTCCGAACATCTTCAGGTCTGTTCTGGCGACAGAAAACAAGGAAACCGGGGAATCCGGAGGAGGATCGGGAAAGATAACAGACAGAACAGACAGAACAAACAGCAACTGGATGTGCAAACACGGCAAACAACAGCCAACCACGCTAGACCGGATTAGGCGGGCGGGCAACTCCCCCCGGCGATGCAAGAAGACGGAGTCGACGACGACGACGACGACGAAACCACTTGCTTGCTTCGTTCAGTCCATTGGCGCTTGACGACTCCCTACATATCTACTCAAGATGTCGACTATTCTTCGTACGCTGCGCAACTTGCGGCGCATTGGCTTCAAGGTGAGATTCGAGCTGCCCACAATCGCTTCAGAGGACCTCCTTTGCTAACTTCCATCTTCGCACAGGAATATGGTCACCAGATGAACGTACGTACCCCTCGGAGGGCCGGAGATGATGGACTCGGATAGACAAGGCACTGACGCTGTGTTTGATCCCCACGACGAAAATAGTACATCGGTAAGCTCGCCGCGCTGAGGACGAATACAGCGCAAGAAATAAATGTCTGACGCAATGGTACCTGCAGGTGATACCAAGGCCGGTACCTTGATTGGCACCGATCGTTACGGAAACAAGTTCTACGAGAACATGGAGGAAGAGCTCCCTCGTGAGTGAAGTCGGAAGCGGATCCGGTCGAAATGCTTGTTGACGGTCATCTAGTTCGTACGCGCTGGGTGGATTACAAGGAGCACGAATACGACCCATCTCAGATCGAGCCCGGATGGTGAGTATCTGGGTTTTCTTGACTCGAGCTTGCAGCCGTGCGGCCCTTATTCCTGACTCCTATTTAGGCACGCTTGGATCTCCTACATGGTCGATGTCCCCCCTACGGTCGACAGGGCCCTGCAGACCGGCGTCCGCGCCTGGGAGCTGCCTGAACACAGGCCCACCCTGACCCTGAGCCGCGCTGCTTTCAAGACCTACTCGACGTGAGTTACCTCCGACTGTAATCTGCGTGAATGAATCAGTGCGCTAATCCGATGGTTCAGCACCCGCCCTAAGTACTCTGCTTGGACCCCCGTTGCGGCTCCCCGGTAGATCTACCAATCATCTAGCTCTATTGTTCCATGCCTTGGACTTGATGTGTACATAAAGATGTCTTGTTTTCCAGTTCAAAACCATTAACCTTTTTCCCAGTTAGTCTATGTGTCCTCCACCTGCCAGTTCTATATATAGTGATTCTCGTCTATACACACCAAGATCACCGAGGTATCATATTAAGCGAGAGCAAAGAAAAGGGAAAGATTAGCGCTTGCCGTAGACCTAGATACACATATTCAAAGTACATATATACCAGAGCCGATGCTGGACCAGTGTCGAAGGGGACGGCGATCTTCTAATTCGATGCACCACCAGAGCACCTCTTTCAGCTTTTCAACCTGCCCCCCTGCTTCATATGCTCGGGAGAGTGCATACCAAGCTTCGCTGTTGTCCCAAGAGCTGCCTAATTTTGTCAACCCGGATAGCAGGCCAAAAGCTCGCTCCCGCGCGGCAATGCGGTTGAGAAGTTGAGGCTCCTCCTCTTTTTCAACGTCGGCAGACCCTGCCTTTGCGTCCGTGGGAAGAGTTACCTCAGCATGACCTGTCTTCTTTTTGGGCTCGCTGAGAGGGGAGGACAGAGGAAACATGGAAGGGTCGAGTTCAATGCCTGGTCTTGGAGGCTCCAGAGGGATTGTTCGATCCCAGACGTCGAGGAGTAGATTGGATAGTCCAATCGTGGCTTTCGGATGATTCAATTCATGTCTGAGAGCCTTCTCAAAGTGTTCCATGGCTTCATGCGGACGTTCCTGTGCTTTTGACAGAAAGCCTCGCTCCGCGTAAAGATCGGCCCAGAGGTCCTGGCAACTCTTGGGGCAGCCCCATGCCCGTTCGCGGAACGCCCGTGCGGATGATTCTTGCGATGCCACAAGGCTCTCGAAGTGCGTGATGTGTTTAGATGCTTCTTCGCATGCTTCGTGTGCGTCGTCAAACGATGACGCGCGACGATAGAGTCCGGCAATAAGTAGCCAGATGTTAACAAGGATAGAGAGAGCGTGCTTTTGGGATTGAACCGGTGGGACCTTGGTCACAGCTCTGGTGGGCGAGTCGAATGCGTAGGATAGAGGTAGTCGAGTGTCTTGTACAGGCGGCTGATTAGGGTGTCCAATTGGAGGGGGTTGTTGATTGTGCTTAATGTTATGAGGTATGGGCCCCAGCGGCTGTCGGGCTGTTGGCGGTTGTGTAGCTGCATCAGTGACTGCCTTTCGAACCATATCTGGAGAGGGCGGCTGGGGCGCATCATCAGGACCAGCCTGAGCTGCGTTCTTGCCGATCACTTGATTGCGATCCTGGTCTTGCACGCCATCCGGTTTCTGGAGGGTATTGCTCCTAGATCGCAGTTTCCGAGATCCAGATCCTGCTACGGTTTGCTTTTCGGCGGAAGCATCGTTGGTGACTTGTATGGCAGGTGCCGTATCACCTTGATCGGGGCGAGGGGGCGCATGGCCGTCAGCCTTTGATTCAGGAGCGGTGTCTCCTCTCGCACGATGCCCACGGTGCCGTCCAAAGATACTTCCCCGGAGACTCTTCACTGTCCCAGCAGAGCTCTTAGGTGGTGCAAGATGGTCAGCCGGAGCATTACTGGGTTTTGTCTCCGTTTCAAGACTCAACGATCGGAATAAAGTGGCAAAAAGGCTGAGTAGCTGTTCACTGTGGTTCAGAGCGTTCTCTGGCCCCTCGAGGAGCTCAACGAACGCGAGCTGTGTCATGCGAGTCTCAATGATGCGTTCCTTCTCCCTGTCGCGCAGTTGATCTATTAGAGCGTGTGTCAAACCAGTGACGGCCTGCTCTTCGAAGTTATGATTATGCTTCTGTGGCCGTCTGTCGTTGTGGGCCAAAGAGGTAATTGTAGCAGGGAACTGCTCAAAAGCAGCTTCACAAGAGCGCTCGGCAATGTCGAAATCTTCCTTCGCACTAAGAAGCAGAGCGAGTAAATGCCAAAGGGGAACAAGTTCCCGTTCGCGAGTAAAGTCGGCCTGGCCGGCTCGTGGTTGTGGATCTGATGTCAACGCCGACCGGACATACTCAATAGCACCATCGATGTCCCTGTCTTCGGCCAACAACAGAGCCAGAGTGTAGAGCGAGGAACGATTGAGTTCGTCTTCGAGCTCCGGTGCCAAACTTTTGTCAAGGTAATCAATTGCCTCCGCGCGAATATCGTCGCGGTCCTCAGTAAAGGGCGTCCAGTAAGCCCAGTTGGCTAGTCCTATGCCAATACCTCTATAAGCTGCGGCAAGATCCAACGGAGAAACCACCTCGGAGCTAGCTGAGTTCGTTTGCTGCATGATAACAATGGCCCCGTTCTCCTGGTCTTTGTTTTCTTGGACATGCTTTGCGGCAAACTTCTTCAGTAAATTCGTCAGGTGTCTTGCCTTTTCAGCCTCTTTGTCGGAACCGAAGCAGCACAGCATGGTCACACCCTCCGCGATGGTGCGAAGCAAGTTACCATCATTCTCTAGTTCCCCGGACTCCGCCCCTTTTTCGGCCCTTTCTTTAGCACTGGTCACAATTTCTATATAGGAGTCAAGTGCTTTGATAGCGAGAACAGAGTCACCCAAGGCACAATGAACATGAAATAGACGTCGAAGAATTAAGTGCGAATGATACGTTTTGGTAGCAGCACGATAAAGGATCTGTTACGACAGAGTTAGCATGCTTAATCGTTTTTTTTTGTAGCTCTGTCGCCGCCGGTTCCATGGGGAAAACATACATCGAGGACGTTTCTGCCAACCGCATTCTGGCCTCCTTCCCCGAGCTCGTCATCCGTCCAGTCGGGCCCACCAAGCACCTGCCAATTGGAGATCACTTCTTCAACCCATTCTTCGACCTGCGGGTTGCTCGAATTGGCGGAAGGGAATTTTGTCTCACGAAGAAGGGTCGCCTCGTAGAGAGTTTCTACGCGTCGGATCTCGCTAGCCAGTTGTGGGCGCTCAGGTCCGTTGGTGGAAGGGCTATATGGCACTCCATGTCGCAGAATCGCCGTCAGGAGTTGGTAATATGACTTCCAAAGTGACGACCGGAGTACTGCCTCAGTAGAACTGTTCGCATGCACAGTCTGAGAAGCAGTCGCTTGCTTGTTGTTAGGGTGGGAAGCCCATAGTCGGAGAAATCCCAGCGCGGTCGTCACGGTTTGTGCATCGGTAGCGGCAATGTCGCGGAGAGCATCGTCCACGGTGATGGAGGCGCCTTCAGCCAATAGCTTCTCAGACCAGTAGAGAAATTGAGGATTGCTCAATGTGGAACCCTGCAGGTGGTTACTCAGCCATGGTGTGACCGATTCGAGAGTTTCCAGGGCATCACCGGCGTCGGACACCATGCGTTGCGAGGCAGCTATGCATGTATTAGCGCATTGCACGACATTATTTGAATCCATCCGCGGTGATGGACGCACCTTTCAAATAGCATGCTTTAACAAGGCAGGCCTGCGTCCACGGGGAGAGCTCCTCCCCCGCACTTTCGAGGTCATGGATTGTTTCAGTAAAATTGTCCGGAAACCGAGATGTTGCTAAGCTTGGTTCATTCAGTGTCCAGTGTGCCCAACCCAGGCAAACTTGTGCTTGAAACACCTCCTGTTTAGGCCCTTCGGCTCGATTGACGGTAGATAGGAGGGACGGGACCAATTCATGGAGGCTGGAAGAGGGGGAGGTCGATTGGGGGGTTGATGCTTCTTTCCGAATATGCGATGCGATCTGGTATTCTGCGCTGGCAACCTCTAGGAGACCTGAGAGAGCGACACTCGTCAATTTGACTTCCGGCAAGTGATAATCATGGGGCGAAGGGCAAGTGAGCATTACATGTCTTATGCGGAGCATGCTTGGTCACCTTTCGGATCAATTCAGGAACCTCATCCCATTTGTCCTGGCAGCGCGCATTTTCCAGGGCAGAGATGTAGCGATGCCCCTTATCGGATTCTCGACCCTAGAGTATGTGGACAGGTAATCAGTAAAGTGTCTGTTTTTTGAGGGGGAATGAGGGGGAGTGTTTGAACCGGGTGTGTTGTCGCTACATACCGTCATGATTGAACTAGGTGAGACACGGAGGAAGAGGGGGAAGATAGCAAGAATGGAGGGGAGAGAAAGTAGGAGAAAAGACAGGCAGGCAGGTAGAAAGGCTCATAACAATGCAAATAATACGTCTTAGAATGAATGGAATGCCCCCTCGGAGGCAGCAGTTTAGTAAAGGTGGTGGTAGTGGAGCGGAATCAAGATTGAACTGACGCCAGCGATCATCAACCCGCCGGCCGATTAGGGGAAAGGAGACCCGCTCCCGGTAATATTAATGTATTGTCAGTGTTTTTTATTTCTTACCGTTCCGCGGTCCAGGCGGAGCTTCACCTAAAAAATTTCCTGGACTCAAATTGGAGAACAGAAACACAAACCCAATCTTCCCAACTTTGCGACTCGCACTCCCAATTGCTTCTTGCTCACTTCGTGCTGCAAGGGCCGGTCGCTGTCGCTCACCATGTCTTATATGGCAATGTCACTTCATGCGGTCAACCACCGTCTGACCAATATCCCCGTCAAGCAGCTGCCTCCGCTCGCTTCATGTCTCGCAGCTTCACTAAGCAATTGCGGGGAGCTTTTGTCTACTCCGCAAAGCCAAAAGTCCAAGTCGGACTCGGACAATGCGGTCCAGGTTCATAAGCTTATGACTCGACTGGCCAGTCTGCTGCAGGATCGAAGCGTTGAAGGACGCTGGACAGCGGTGGTTCTGGTCAAGGCGTTGGTGGAAGCCGGTCAATGGGAGGTTCTTCGTGGATGCGAACCGTTTGTCCGCGGCCTTATCGGGATCTTGAACGTAAGAAGCTCTCTGCCTGCATCCATGCTATAATGGTTACTAATTGCCTTGTTTTCGTCTTCTTCAGAAACCCGATCCTGTTTCTACGAAGAAAATGTCCATTATCACCTTGACGAGGATCTTCCACCTGACCTACCAATACCCGACCCTCGTCCGCGAGATCACAACGCCGTCTCTGCCTGGCTTCATCACCGCTGCCTTGAACTTGATCTCCATCAAGCCATCCTCTGAGCCCACTCGGAAGCTGAAGCCCAATACCCCTTTCGTGGACATTGTACTCAATGCATTCGCGGAGCTGATTGCAAGACACCCGACAATTTTCCGACCCTTCACGGCGCAGATTCACAGTGTCCTCCAGGCCATCATTGGCTCGACTGAGCCCACGTATCCTGAGTCAGTCCTGGAAATTGCGCAGCAGCTGTTCGTCTCTCTGCACAACTGCGCCCCGAAGAACACATCCGGCGAAGAATGGAAGAACGCCTGCCGGATGACTATTGCCTCTATCCATGCAACGTCCTCTTATGTCTTGAGAGCAGTCGTGGAACAGTGGGAGTCGGCCGACCCAGCGTTGCGCCAACTATCCATGCCGCAGAACTACAGCCAGGAGGTAGGAAACGGGCCTGACGCATTGGGCTTCAGTAGCTGGCAGGGCCTGCCTGCTGGTGTGAGTCGGCTCGTCGTGCTTTTGCGCATGCTTTCCAAATATCTGGAAACCGCCACAGCATCCACCGTCATTATCCCCTTGGGTTCGATCTTGGATCTTTGCGCACGCCTAAATATGGTGACGTACCCGTCTGACGGCGAGATTCAAGCCAACCAGCAGATTGGCAGAGCTGAAAGAGAGCACCTGCTTACGGAGCTGCCTCGCATCCATGCAGCTTGTCTCAGGCTACTTGTTGACCTTGTCAAGGCGTTCGGAACGGCTGTCATCCCGGTGGCGCAGACAATCTTGGAGCAAGCTCTTTGGGTGTTCCGTGCTGAAAAGTTCAGCCGGGAAGTCCGCACTGCCGTGTATGATCTTGTGCGCGTCTTGCTACCCCACATGGGTCCATGCATGACCAAGCAAGGTGTCTCTTCTTTGACAGCAGTGCTTCGGACCTGCTGCCACGACTTGTTGCCCCCTCCGAGTAACCAAGCTGCGACTACAGAGAAGCCTGACCCCAAGTCGAAGTCGAAGGCCAGCCAGGCTACCGTGAACGCGGACTCTTTCCTGAACCCTGGATTGAAGCCCGGACGTCAGCTAAGCAGCTCTCCAACGTTTGCAAACCTCAAACAAGCCTCATCTGAACTGCTCGTGGCTCTCCTGACGCACACCTCGACCGAGCTCATCACCCCAGCCCTGCGCGCGGAGATCGACCGAACCATCATCATAACCTCCGACAAGAACGCAATGTTGGCTAGTGTTCTCAACCCCTTCGCTAATATGCAAGGCCGTGGCGTAGGCACGAGCATCATGCCTTTCCTGGCGCGCAGCTATTCCACCGAGATGGAAGTGGAAGCCCTCATCCGCCCGCGTATGCCCGTTCTGATGAACGGCCCCGGCGCCAATGGCTATAGCGTAGCCGATGATGACGATGAGGAAGAGGGAGAGACGGACGCCGTGCTCGCGCCCCAAGCACCCACTGAAACGAGCGGCTTCCTCAAGCCCTCTGCCACCCCAAACCTTCACCAGGACATGATGGACGTTGAGATGACCTCTTCATCTTCCAGCCCCTCCCTGAACAAGCGGAGCTATGCGCAGGAAACGGAGGTGCAGAGTCCCGCACCTTCCATCGCGACGGAGGGCGCGCAGAGCAAGAAGGTCCGGGTTGAGTCTGAAGAAACCAAGGCTCCTGCCCAGCCTTCGCTGGGTGCCGCGTCGCCTGCTACATTCACAGGCACGGCCGCTATCTCTGTTCCCGCTTCGTCTATAACGGCGACCGCTGCGCCTAAGCCCGTTGTTTCGATGACGGGACCGTCGGCTTCAAGCTCCGTCACGGCGCCCCAGCCGCGTGCCGTTGCGGCCGCAGCCGAGACGGCGGGCGATGATGACAGTGACGATGAAATGCCGACCCTGAACATCGATCCGGATACGGATGACGAGGAGGAGGATGAGTAAACGAAGGAAGTAGCAATATTAGTTGGCGCATCTAAAAGCTTTGTGGATAGGCCAGTACACGTTCGAGAGATACCAAAAAGAATTTTGTTTCCGGTTCAGTCTGGTCGCCCGTAGTCGTACGGCGTTCGATTGCGTATGTTTGTCTGCTGTAAACGAGTGAGGAGAGTTTGACTTGACGAGAAGCCCGAATAATCGAGCCAAGTTCTTGCGTCCTCGGTTCTCGGTCTTCAATCGCTCTAAATCTATATAATCTATCTAGAACCACCACGTACACCAACAAATTAGCCAATTACTTCATACTTTATCCAAAATCTAGAAACTACACCACCCGCACCCCTCGGCCCCAATACGTCCCATCATCCCAGTATCGAAACCAAGGGGAAGACCAACACCACCACCCGCTATCTTCCTCTCTTACCCCAATCCCCAGACCCCGCAGCGGACTAACCGGCAACGGCTCGGTCAACCACAACCCGCCCCTCGCAAAATCATCCGCAATAACCGGCGCCGTGAAGTACAGCCACCCGACCGCGAAGACAAGATTCGCGGCGCGCCGGAACCCCCGGGGCAGGGGGTGCTTTGCACCCACCAGCCGCGGCACGAGGACGTGGGCGCCGACTCCCTGCACGATGAAGCCCACGGCCTGGAGGAGAAAGAACCGCAACGGGCCGCGCGCGGGGCTCGTCTCCACGATCTGCGCGTAGCTGCCGCACGAGTGCACCAGGCCGCTGAGCCCGAAGGCGACGAAGGTGTAGACCAGCTGCCGGACGGCGGGGCGAGAGGCGGTGTCCGCGGGCAGGAGGGCGATGAGCCAGCGGGCCGTGGAGGTGAAGCCGACGCGGAAGAGTTGATGCCACCATTTGCTCCAGCAGCCGATGAGGCCGTGGTCGAGGATGGAGGGGAGGAAGGGGCCGAAGGTGTCGCCGTATAGCCAGGCTGCGTCGAGGGGCACGGCGGTCACGGCGCGGGCCGCGTGGGGGAAGGCGAGGGCTAGGCCCCCGAAGATGAGGGGGTTGAAGGAGGTCACGAAGGCTAACGCGGCGTGGATGCCGAAGCCCGTCACCGCCAGACGGTAGAACCGGACCAGGCCGGGGACGGCGGCGAGCGAGGTGAACGGGTAGGGCGGTGCCAGGGTCATGTTCCCGTTGTACATGAAGTACGTGTCGCGGATCATGAGCAGCTTGATCAGATCCAGGGAGAGGTAGGATTTGATGCAAAGCAGCAGGGCCGAGCGCACACGGGCCCTGATGGCAGCAGTATCCGCTCTGATTTCCTCCTCTGCTTGTACCATCTCGTCCGTAAGGAAGGACGGATCTTCGGCTTTCAGCTGGGCGCGGACTGAGGAGGGCAAGGGGCCGAGGGACGAGATGCGCCAATTCCACTCCGGTCCCCGCATGCCGAATAACAAGCTTAAGACCCAACTCGGGCGCTGCGAGAGTGACTGCGGATAAGACTGCCATACCAGCCTTTCGACGTTTGGCTGGTGCGCGTGCTCTGTGGCGGCCGTCCAGTCCCTCTGCGTGGCGGACCGTTCCTTTGCCGAAGGGGGCTCGGAGACCGTCGTCCTTACAATCCGTTGACATTCGCGCTCGGCGTTCTTGTATGCCAGCCAGACGGCGCACCAGATGAGCCACCATGCTGGCAGCAAGCCGCCCATATACCCGTAGCCTCCCAGGAGCATGCGTCGGTGGCGCAGAAAGTGGACGACAGTGCCGGAAACGCAAGCCAGTACGAAAAGCTGCACAGAGCGGCCGCCCTTGCGCCGCGGAATTAGGAGCGCCGGCACGGGAAGCAAGAGAAGGGCAATCAGTTGCCATAGGAAAACCGGCTTCGCCTCGCCATTCTGGATGAGTGATTCGTACTGACTATGGTAGTCTTCGACGAGTTGGCGGTAGAAAGGTATGGGAGGGGTGGCGGCCATAGGGGGATCCAGTCGATCAGAAGCGATAACTGCAAGATAATATGTACTGTATATATACGCCGTGTATTATGTATTGATCAAATGAGGCCGAGATGTATGTTCAGTTCGAAGTAGAAGCTGTTCAGTAATCTGATAATCGACACTGCCTCAAATTCATGCCTGAACAGGAAGCGGTGGGTGTTGAACAAGAGTGGTGAACTGCTGAACCTCACGGTACAGTACCAGAGTATGTACTGTATATATCGTAGAAATGTAAATCAAGATGTATCGGAAAATGGTTATACTATGTATCCATGGTCAAAAAATGCCATGGGGACAGCGAATCCGTAGGTAAGTGGTGGGATCGACTCTCGGGGGCAAAGGGACTGAAAAAAAGGCGGATCCCTCAAT